AAACAAGCTCCTGGTACAAAACCTCAGCTGTTTACACCTAAAAGCCTCCATTTTTGTTCAGCTTAAAAAATCCGCCCCACTGAAAACACCCAGACTGAATGGTACTTCCTCTGCACAGGCTGGAGCTGGATGCTTCCCTTTATGTACAGATATATAATATGCACAAATGTAACACACACAGCAGTAGCATTTTACTCAGAGACTCAATGAATGTACAAATTAATGCTGTAATGCAGGAAGGTCGGCACCATCACAGCAGTGTCACGCAATATATCACAAATATCTGTCAGTCACACGGTTTCACATGTTTACACCACACACTTTGGTGTAAACAGTCACATGATTTCAGTGCAGTCGCCTTGGAAACACTACTGTAAAAACATTCCTGCTCTTTTCTTTTATTCTGTTTTAAAAAGTGCAGAGTTAATAGATGTATATTTAACGAGATAAAGCGATATTTTACTCAGGTGGAACATTTTTTGGGGTGCGTCCAAACGTTAATAAACAGCTATGGTCGTCATTGGGCTTTTTAATTTAAACTTAAAAGTAATCTGATACCTTTATTGACCTCTAATGGGTACTAGCAGTAATTGTAACAACACTTACATGACATTTTCCTTCTACAAAATGTTTCCTCCAACCCAATTCTCCCATTACATCCCGTCAAATCCATAAATTACAGCCAAACTAGGGTTGAATGATTTCCCACCATTTTAAAATGATTACATCTTTTATTGCAGTCAATTTAACCTGATTTTAAAAACACAAAACTATGGATACATAGCTTTACACCAGCTATTACACAATATTTAACCATACAACTGGACTGCAAGCTGCCATGAACAGTAAATGTGAGAAACCTTTAGCTGAGAGTTTGATCCACAGTCACAATTCCCTGTAGTTACAATGGTGAATGTCAATAATACAAAGCCTTCAGTCTCTTTTCAAAAAGTGAATATGGAGAGGTTTTACAATAAATGTGCTGTTTGAGGTCACATTGCCTGAAGTCTTCTGTGTGTTGGTAGTACTGTAACATTTGTAGCTTTCAGAATAAAAGCAGGAACGAGACAATGACAGATGCCTCAGGGCCGCTGACTGTTCATGAATTTAAATGTAATCGATTCTACCCGGGTGAAATATCGCTCTGAGTAAACCCAGAATGAAACAATGAATATTAAAGTCTATGAAATGTAAGAAAAGAATGAAAAAAAGAACTATTACGTGGCCTGAAGAAGGAAGTTGTGTCTGTTTGTGAATCAAAGATGTGAATCTTTTGCAATCAATATATGACAATGAAAGTAACATTTAGCACAGAAAATAAACGGACATTAAAGGGATATATCACTTGTTTTTTTAAGTAGTTTAGTTGGACTGTTAGCTGGTGGAAATGTTTACTACAAAACTACATTTTGATCTAATGACTGTTGTGATATTGCTTGAGAAAAGTGAAATATCCCTTTAATCTATGAGAGAAAACCAGGGTCTTTAAACTGTTATAAAGCAGGCAGGGTCGTATTAGCTCTTTTCAATATATAACCAGAGATTTTAAAATATTGTTAATGTTTTATTTGCAGTTTATTTTTCTCTTCATATTTTTCTGTTGAAATTTGGGAAAAAAGCTACGTTAAGAGTCGTCCACTTGTTAAAAAGAAATTAAAGGTTTGTTTTTGGTGAATTTTGGTAAAATCATGAGCCTTAAATATTTTTTAGTTCAGTAGTCTTTTCTGTGATCACCTTCCAAACTGGATGTATGAAACTTTACGCAGCAGCACAAGAACAGGAAACCCTAAAGCATGGTAAAGCTTACAGACTCTTATAAAAATGGGAATTAATGTCTGTCTGTTTTGAGGATGACTTTTATAAAGATTCGGTTGTTATTACAGGATGAAAGAGCAACGTTTGTGTTAATTCCTGTATTTCTCCTGATGATGAAGATTGTGTTGCGTTTCCAGTCCTGATAACCAAAACAATCAAAGTCTAACTGAAGTGGTTTCACCTGCACAGACCCCCCGGTTGGCTCTATGGTGTATTTTAATGAAGAGCACAGTTACTTGTGTACAGTGTGTAACTGCAGTATGTTAATCACAAGTGTTTATTTGTGACGATTATTCATTAGCATTTTTCATCATTTTATACAATTAATCCAACTCCTCTTAAAACATTCCTCTTATAAATCTAATTTGAAACCAACTGAGGATGAATGTCGGGAGTTTTAAATGTTCTATAACTGAAGAAATATATGCTCGTTCTAGGAATCCAGTGAATACATATATGTGATCTTTCTTTACGTCATCATTCGGGCCCATCTCCTATCTTTGGTCCCCACTCGTAGTTTAAAAAAACGCTGCTTTGTGTGCTTCAGGAGGCGAAGTGAATCTGCATGTTATTAGTGTGTGACGCTGTAAAGGTCCGATGCCTTGTTCCTGTACATACTGAGGATGCTGTATACTGTATGTAACGACGATGCTGATTTTTAAGTATGATTTTGTTAACGTGACCAATAAACTTTCTGTTTTTGCTGTTTGTTTTTAATCCAGCGTGTCTGACTGCTCTCTGGTCGGGTCTCTTTCTAAACCTCAGATGAACCTTATTTGCATTGAACATCTTGATCTGCAGCGGAGGTCAGGCGGCAGGGCGACTCGCTGTGGGTGTAAGTGTTTGTGGGCAAGACGCTGTCAAAACCTCTACCTGACTGTTGGCATTTGACTGTTTGTCTTTATTGATTCAGGCGTCTCTGTCGGGGCACAAAAGACAAACCCAGTGTCTGTGAGTTCAGTGCATTTACTCACAGCAGCTCTTTGAACTATAAACTAATGTCAACATGGTCACATACTGATGTTCAGCAGGTATAATGTTTCAGGGCTTCCAGATGTCATAAACCGGCTGTAAGTTCAAACAAAACAAAGGAAGACCACACAGATAATTAAATGTATTTATTTAAGCAATATTAAGCTATACGAGTATAACAATATGTAAATCAGTGTTGTCAGTAGAATAGTGAGTGTGTGAAAAATAAATCTAAGTAAACCCGAAACACAAACAAACCAAGAACCTGCTGGCTAAGAGGAGAGAGACATAACTAACATAACTCTCTATATATCCGAGCAATCAGGGAGCAAGTTAAATCAGGTGTAGCTCTCCTGCACAGAAACAGGGGGAACACACAGAACAACCAGAGTGGGACGGCTCATCACACAGGACAGCCAGTGGTTAAATTCCTCTGCAGTCCGATTAGTAAGAATCATGAGAAAGACTCATTTCGGCTAATCTCTATAAACAGATATCTACATGTGAATGCGGAGTTTAACGTGATCGGATACTTGGACTACAAACGGAACCAGAACCAAAATCTTGGTCCCTCACCTACAGATTATTCACTTATATGCAGATATCTGTTTAGATTATTAAAATGTTTACCATGTTTGTTTAGTTTTTAAACACAAAGTACAGCTGACGTTAAATAACTTTACTTTTAGATGAAAGGTCATCACC